CAGCCTCCCAAAGGCGCGGGATTACAGGCTGAGCCACCGAGCCCGGCTTGCCCACTTTTTGATGGGCTTTTTTTTCATGTTGAGTTGTTTGAGTTCTTTGTAGACTCTGGATATTAGTCTTTTGTCTAAGCATAATTTGAAAATATTTTCTCCCATGCTGTTGGTTTTCTGTTCACTCTGTTGATCTCTTTTGCTGTGTAGAAACTTTTTAGTTTGAGTCTCATTTGTCTATTTTGTTGTATTTGCTTTTGGGGTCTTTGTTATAAATTCTTTGCTTAGGCCAATGTGCAGAAGAGTGTTTCCTAGGTTTTCTTTTAGGATCTTCATGGCTTCCGCTCTTACACGTAAGTCTTTTTTTTTTTTTTTTTCCCAAGTTGGAGTCACTTGGTTGCCCAGACTGGAGTGCAGTGGCCGCTCCCGGCCACCACAGCCTCGGCCTGCTGGGGCTCCGGCGATCCTTCTGCCTCAGCCTTCCAAGTAGCTGGAACTACAGGCGTGCGCTACCACATCCGGCTAATTTTTTGATTTATTGTAGAGATGAAGTCTCACCAAGTTGCCCAGGCAGGTCTCAAACCTGTGGGCTCAGGCAATCCACTCACCTCGGCCTCCCAAAGCGTGGGATTACAGGCTAAGCCACCAAGCCCGGTCATACTTAAGTCTTTAATCCCTCTTGAGTTAATTTTTTTATGGTGAGAGGTAGAGATCTGTTCCATTCTTCTGCATCTGACTAGCCAATTTTCCCAGCACCATTTATTGAAGAGAGTGTCCTTTCCCCATTGTTTATTTTGTCAGCATTGTTGGATATCATTTGGTTGTAGCTATATGCCTTTATTTCTGGATTCTCTGTTCTGTTTAATTGATCTATCTTTCTATTTTTTGTGTCAGTATCTTGCTGTTTTAGTTTCTATAGTCTTGCAGGGGTCCTCAAACTCTTAAAACAGGGGGCCAGTTCACTGTCCCTCAGACCGTTGGAGGGGCGGACTATAGTTTAAAAAAAAAACTATGAAC